CCCTGGGGTGGAGGTTGATCTGATGCGCCGCGTACCTCACCGCAAACGGCCACAGAAAATGGGGGGCAGCTGCATGCATCATAGACGTACGAGCGACGTCCATGACCATGCCAATGCGGTGCTCAGCAATCCCATTTTGCTGCGGTGAGTCCGGAAGCGTGAAGGTCTGACGGATGCCCCGCGCACGACAGTAGGCACGCAGAAGGCCAGAGGAGAACTCTCCGCCTCTGTCCGAGTGCAGACGCAGAACAGGAAAGTCCGAGCCGAAGCTCTGCCTGAGCTGGAGACGAGCTGCACGGATCCAGTCGATCAGCACCTCAGTGACATCACCCTTGCTGCGCAAGGGGAAGACTGTGGTGTAACGCGAGTAGTCGTCAACAACGAGCAGGAAGTAGCGCTCGTGACCCTGTCCACGGACGCGGGCTGGGCCCCACACATCCATGTGAAGTGTCTGCAACGGGGCCTCTGTCGGAGGGAACTGGGAGGAGTGAGGGGCAGCACGCTGGCGCCCCTCGACACAGGGGACACAGGCAGGGCCAGGGCCCTGAGGAAGGGGAGGGAGGGACCGGGGGAGACCGGACACAAGAAGACGGGAGGCCATACCTCTGAGCCGAAGCAGAGAGGGGTGGCCAAGGCGGTGGTGCCAGAGGAGAGTCTCGTGAGACAGGAGACGACACGAACAGGGGGCAGACTCAGGACCAGACCTGGACGCCGCAGCAAACACCTGACCCGACGTAGCTACCCTACCAGACTCAGCAACTGGAGGAGACGCAGTGGTCAGAGTGTACAGGCTCGACCCCGGCTGACGAGTAAACGTAGCCAGGTGTCGGCCTGTGCTAGCCTCTGTACAGTGCGTCACCCGCTGACGCGCAGGAGTGAACTGGTGTACACCCGCATCCTGGAGGTCAGCACCACTCACCAGGTTCGTAGAGAACGAGGGGAGGTAGAGACCAGACAGGGTGCCAGAGGGAGCCGCCGGACACGGGAGGACTGTGGAGAAGCGAGACAGGACAGGACCCCCAGAGGGGTCAGCCAGAGACACTGCAACCGGCCGACTCAGCGGTGTGAGTGTGGTGCAGTCCCGAAAGAAGGAGCGAGAGGCCCCAGAGTCAAGGGTGAAGGTGAGGGAGGCCGAAGCCGACGTAGTACCTGAGAGCGCAGACTCACCAGTACCTGAGGACGCAGACACACGGGCACCTAGAGCAGCAGCGTCGCAAGCACCTAGGGCAGCAGCCTCACCAGGACCTAGCGCAGCAGTCTCAATGCCCGGATCGGGCTGGAAACACCGGTAACAGTCACCCTCATCACTAATAGACACAGCATACATGGCAGAGAGAATAGCATCAAAGTCAAGATCATAGATGGCAACACCCGCCCTGGACAGCTCGCCCCAGCGAGGGATCTCTGAGGCCTCCGGGAACTGGTGACGCCACGCGTCCGTCAGGCGGCCAAAGCAGCGCTGGGTGAGGTGGGCACCCCCACACTGCTCACCCGCACGGTCGCCGGTGCGCAAAACGTAGGAGCACGGACCAAAACCCCCACCCCGCTGACGCGCAGTGTACCACTCACGAAGCTGCTGAGGGGACAGGGTGTCACGACCACGCTGCAGCTGCTGGCGCGAGCCACCACCGGAGCCACTCCTCTGCGAAGACCCGCGACCAGCACCACCGCCACCCCCGCTGCCTCCGCCGCCTCCGCCGCCTCCGCTACTGCCGCCGCCTCCGCCTCCGCCTCCACCGCCGCCTCCTCCGCCACCTCCGCTCCCACCGCCACCGCCGCCGCCACCTCCACCTCCACTGCCGCCACCGACCCCTCCACCCCCACCTCCACTCCCACCGCCACCCCCACTCCCCCCACTGCCGCCACCTCCACCTCCACCGCCCCCGCTCGCTCCTCCAGCGCCCTTGCCCCCCTTGCCCTTGCCAGAGCGGCGTCTCCCGCTAGGGGCAGACGCCACACCGACCGACTCAAGACCAAGGAGGTCGGCCGCAGCAGCAGAGGCAACAGAGGGCAGAAGGGGGGAGGGGGAACACCCCTCAAAGATGGGGGTGCGCGGGTCACCACGAGAGGCCCCTACAGCGACTATGCTCTTCTCGGCCGCTAGGAGGGACTTCTCGAGGAGGTCAACAGTGAGAGTGGTGGGACAGACAGAGAGAAAGTGGTCCCTGACTACGCGAAGAGAGTCAGGAAGGCGAGTGACTATGTAGTAAAGAGTGATGTACATGGGGGGGGGGTTCTTGGCGCAGAAGTCAGGAGGGAGTGCAGCTCGGTAGCGAGTGTCACTAGTGCGGAGGTGCGTAATGAGGTCAGCGACTGTGGGAAAGGCAGCAATGTCAGGAAAGAGGTACGGTAGCATGAGACGGCTCAGTGCAGCAGTGGCAGGGGAGGAGTAGCGCGCAACTACAGCGTCGTACAAGGTCTGAGCACTCTTGTACTGACTAAAGTGCGCACGCTCGGAGGTAGGGAGGTGGCGACGCACAGCAAGACGTGCAGCAGCGTCGCGCGTGGCCCACTGGGAGCGAACAGTGGCGTCAGCATCAGCAGCAGGGGCAGTGGAGGCGCCAGAGGTGAGGTCAAAGAGAGAGAGGCCGTCTGCCCTATCGCACTGTAAGAACAGCTGCAGGTCATCTAACCAGACCTCAAAGTCAACGGCCCGACCCTCACCGTCAAAGACAAGAACACTAGGGGTGGCCATGACCCTAGACGACTAGCAGCGCAAACAGTAGGGTGAGGGCAGTGCAGTGAAAAGGCGCTGTGCTCACCAGACAGGGCAGGTCGGGCGGCCCGGAAGAAGGGCGGCGCGGCGGCTCGGCGGCTCAGCTGCTGGGCGGCTCGGCTGCTGGGTGGCTCGGTTGCTGGGCGGCTCGGTTGCTGGGCGACTCGGCTGCTGGGCGGCTCGGCTGCTGGGCGGCTCGGCTGCAGGGCGGCTCGGCTGCTCTGCTGTCGGGCGGCTCGGCTGGTGGGCGGCCGGGCGGCTCGGCTGCAGTGCGGCTCGGCGGCGGGGCGGCTCGGCTGCTCTGCTGCTGGGCGGCTCGGCCGCTGTAGAGGAGTGGCAGCGGGGCCGCTTGATAGGGCGGCAGGGCCGCTGCAGAGAAGCGGCGGGGCCGCTGGGTAGGGCGGCGGGGCCGCGAGATAGAGCAGCGGGGTCGCGTGGTAGAGTGGCGGGGCCGCGCGATGGGGCAGCGGGGCCGCGAGGAAGGGCGGCGGGGCCGATAGGTAGGGCGGCGGGGCCGCGCGATGGGGCGGCGGGGCCGCGAGGAAGGGCGGCGGGGCCGCTAGGTAGGGCAGCGGGGCCGCGCGATGGGGCGGCGGGGCCGCGAGGAAGGGCGGCGGGGCCGCTAGGTAGGGCGGCGGGGCCGCGCGATGGGGCGGCGGGGCCGTGATGGGGCGGCGGGGCCGCTAGGTAGGGAGGCGGCGGGGCCGCGAAGACGGGCGGCGGGGCCGCTGAGACGGGTGGCGGGGCCGCAGTGAAGGGCCGCTAGGGCGGCTCGACGAAGTGAGGGCCCGGAGCGCGACTCGGGCTGAGCGCGCTTCGGGCAGGAAAAAAACCGATGTGGTGGGCCCTAAGCACAGTTCCCAAGGGGGAACCTGCTCGATACCATGAGAAGATTTGATCAAGAATGAATGAACTATGAAATGAAGTGAGTACAAATATGAAACCCTAATTGGTTGTACCCCCTATGGGATACCCCACTATAGCCTACACAACAGCATAAGCTACAATGTTCTGACATACCAACCACACAGCAAAGCCGAACCAAAAGGACCAAGCACCACCACCAGGGCTGGAGAAGCAAGGCCATTTGGCCTTAATGCCCTGAACATTCCGGGTTACGCTTGGAGCAGCTCGACCGTTTCAAGTGCTAGAATGGCATGGCACCCGTGACAGTCAGGGGCCTTGTTTGGGCCTTCCCCTGAATCCAGGTTTTGGTTTCTGTGTTGAGCACACCCCCCCACCCCCCATCCCACCACTACTCCCCCCACCCCTCCACGACTTTGCCTACGAACCCCTTCCCTCCTCACAATTTTTTTGCCTACGATGTAGAGGCTGTAAGAATGTTGAGCGTGCTAGAAAGGCATAGTGCCGTCGTAGCGGAAGCCTTGATTGTAGAAGAGAATAACAAGAGAACTTTGCAACTGAATGGATTGATTATGAAACCTCACAGCAGGGAATTTATGCTATCAGCTACTCTGCCCACACCTATCCATGCACACTAATAATTGTACCACCAATAATGGCAACTCCAATAAAGGAGTACCAATAATTTCACCCCCAAACCTCTAGACTCCAATAATTCTGGCCCTACAATAATTGTACAATTATTGTAGGACCTGGAGTCTTATAAAGGAGACTACAGTAAAAATCTAACAGCATATATAGTTCCTCATGTTTCTATTTCCAACACTCCCCCTTGCTGTAGATTTTACTATAAATTTACTGGGGTTCATTTTTGTGGAGGGTAGGAGTACAAGGTGGTACCGTTGGTGACACAGGTAATTGCGGATGATTCCGGCGAGGATTGCGGAGCTGTTGAAGATGACAGCGTTGTTTGCGGAGCAGACCACGTTAGGGTTTCAAAGTTCCGTTGACACGTTGGAGAGTTGGGTCGATTGTCATGTAGCAGATTTCGTGCACGTTCCTCGTCAGGTGTACACTTGGTCCCGACTTTCGGATCTCAGGTGTTTCTTGTTACGTTGCTGTCACATTGGTGCTGCGCCCTGGTGCTCGTCTCTCCTTCCCACAGCTCTTGCGACCTCGTCGAGCAGGGGTCCTCCAATCTTGTCATTTGCTCGCTTTCAGATGTCCCTTTCGAAGCTGTTTCTCTAGCTATGAGTGCTGCTGGCGAAATTATGGCGAAATCATAGCTTAGCTGCTAGCGCGCGACCTAGCAGCAGCCCGAAATGCTCCCCGATCCGCGTTAGCTGCTTCCATTGCGCGTCAGCTGTTGTATGTCGCGATATCCGGCAGCATCAGCTGGTGCGCGTCACCAGCGCTCGTGATGTCACGGCTGGCGCTCGGTGACAATAACGCACGTGACGACCTGCAGCGCCGGATGCGCGTTTTCTGCGGCTGCGGCCAGATCCGTGACTGCTGCTTCTGTCGCGTTACTGCTTCCTCTGTCGCGCGGCTGCAGTAACCTTCTCGCTTGACGTCCTGCGCGCTGCAGCTCCTTGCGCGTGACTGCTGTTCACGGCGCTCTGCGACATCGATGCCCGTGGTGATCGGCAGCAGCGGCTGGCGCACGTCTGGAGCATCATGCGCGCTGCTGCATTATATCGCATGTGGCGGCTTCTACTGGTGCGCGCCCTCCCCTTGCCATTTCGGACGACCTGGCGCTCCTGCAGCGCCTCGCGCATGACGCCATTGCCCACGACTGCAACGACGGCCGCACCTGTGGCGAGCTGCAGCACCTGTGGCGCACGGCAGCACCTGTGACGCACGGCAGCACCTGTGACGCACGACTTTCTTCTTCCTGCCAAGGTGAGAATGCTTAGTGGAACCTGACTGTTTCACCCATATTACCCTGTTACCCTGTGATGTTACCTTGTGCTGCTCCCCTTGACCCTGTGCTGCTCCATGTTGCCCTGTGCTGCTCCCCCTATACCAGGTGGCGTACGGGAGCAGCTGCAACTGGTACACAAGCACCTGGCGGCTGTTCCTGCACCTGTCGGCTGCTCCTGCACCTGGCGGCTGCTCCTGCACCTGGCGGCTGCTCCTGCACCTGGCGGCTGCTCCTGCACCTGGCGGAAGCTGCACCAGCGGCGGTTGACGAGTGGCGGCCGCATCAGCAGCTTGTGCAGGCCAGCTTTCTCGTGCCGACCAGAAGCTTCAACTTCAACGGCGTGCAGCAGGGGTCGCACATCAGCAGCACTACCCGGCGCTCGGCAGCAGCATCAGCGTATTGCAGTAGCGACACACTCGCGGAAGTAGCGGCGGGTGAGCTGGAGACGACTAGCAGCAACTGGCTGCTGACCCATTCTTCTGCCGAGGTGAGGTGTTCCGTTTGAGCGAGCGTTGTGCTCTCCTCTCTGCCGCACCCAAGTCCTGACTTCTTGCACCGTCGTATCTTATGCACCCTTGTGAGTGAGGCTCCAGCTTTCTACCCTGCCTCATGCCATGGTGCCTTACACCCCGTAAGCCTCGTCTTGTTCTGGATGCAGAGTCAGTCATGCCTGCTTTCACTTGTGATGCTATCCCCTTGTCACACCAGCGGGCGCACGGGAGCAGCTGTGGGCGACTGGCCATGGCGGCTGCAACATTTACTGCCCACCTGAAGCATCACTTGGCCGCTTGCAGCAACATCGGGCCTGCTGCAGCAGATGGCGGCAGAAGCACTCTGCACCAGCACTCTGCCTGCAGCTCCCCTTGACGCCCTTAACCAGAAGCTATGCGGCCTGCAGCAACTGTTGTGGCTCCAGCATGTCTTGGTACGCTACTGCTGCTCCAGCACACGTCCATCACATGTAGCTTGCCTTTTATCTTCGATCAGCAGTAACAGTCGTTTATCCATTCATGACTGTGTAATCCTCCACTGACTCTTGCTGTCGTGTTTTACTCCCCCTGAAATCAGCAGGCATATGAAGTCTTCAGGAACGGCCGCTGCAGATGGCGAGTGGTTGTGACCAACCAGCAGCAGCGACTGTCCAGCAGAATATCTGATGGCTGCTGTTACTGATTGCAGTAGGTCTTCTCATGATTATATGCTGACTCCTGTGATGACGAAAATGAAAAGATGGTTGTGAGATGAAATCCTGATTTGTTGCACCCCAAGATACTCCACACCCCACTCCCCCTCTCACTCGTGTGTTAGTAGGCATGCACATGCGTGAGCACGCACACATCACCAAACACATGAGTGAGATGTGTGGAGTTACGTGATGCTGTGTTGTTCCGTTCCCTTTGAGAAGCCCGGACTTGAGAGTGCAGCTCCAGCAGCTTCAATGTGAGTATTGGGTGCAGACGGTGCGACATGTGGAGTTGGTTGGAGACCGCACAAGAGGCTGCAGGTGAGATGTTGTTTGGCTGTGAGGGGCTTGGTGAGATAATCCGCAGCTTGCTGAGCTGTTGGGCAGTACTCCGGCCGTACAACTCCATCACGAACAGCCTTCCTCGTCCAATGGTAACGGATGTCCATGTGCTTGATGCGTTGACTCATCTGCTCTCCGGTTGCAAGCGCAATGGTGCTTTGGTTATCCACAAAGATGACGGTAGGGTCCTGCTGTCGAAAACCGAGGTCTTCACACAAGCGGCGAAGGTATGTGGCTTCCCTTGCCCCTTCAAACAGCGCAATGTATTCTGCTTCAGCTGTTGATGTCGCAATGACTGTTTGTCGTTTAGTCCTCCAACTGACAGCAGCTCCTCCCAAGGTAAACACGTAGCCTCCAACTGAGTGACGCCCTTCTTCGTTCGCATAATCCGAGTCCGTGTATTCGCAGAGCACCAAGTCTCCTCCTCCATAGACCAGCCCCATGTCTGCAGTGTTCTGTAAGTAGTTGAACACCCTGTGGATTCCAAGCACTGTTGTTGCTGTTGGTTTGCTTGCTTGCCTGGCCAGCACATGCGCCGCATAAGTTATGTCCGGCCGCCCTGCTGTTGAGATGTACAGCAATGTCCCAACTTGTTTCAGCACCAATTGACCATTAATCTCGTCCGGTGGTTCTCCTTGTGGTCCAGGTTCCTTGGCGATCGGTGTCCGTACTCCGGAACGGCTGCCCTCCATCCCGAATGTCGCCAAAGCCTGTGAGATGTACTTTGTGAGTCCGAGTGCGATCAAGTCATTGTCCGCGGTGACGTTGAGCCCCAAAAATTGCGTCATGGTCTCGCTGACCGTTAAGGTAAAGTGCTGCTTCAAGTGTTGAATCACAACTTCAATGCCTTTTGCGTCATGAGACTGGATGAGAATGTCGTCAACGTAAGTGAGTAGCCACACCGTGTCCTGTCCGTCTCTTTTCCAAATAAATAGAGAGGGGTCTGATTCGGATTGCACCATGTCCAGCTCCAACAAGACACCTCGTAAGTGTTGATGCCACAAACGTGGTGCTTGTTTCAGTCCATACACACTTCTTTTGAGTTTCCAAACTTTGTCTCCGTCCCGCCTTGGTTCTGGTGGTCGTACGTATATATCCCGGTCGATTGGAGCGTACAGGAATGCGTTGGAGATGTCCAGTTGCACCACCTTCCGCTTTGTAGTAGATGCACCAGCGACGAACATGCGAGAGGTAGGTCCTTGGCTGACTGGTGCATACGTCCCATCGTATGTTCCCCATGTTTGTCCGCATCCCTTGACCACCCAGCGCGCTTTAAACCGGTTTGGCTGTCCGTGCTCATCTCGTTTCACCCTGAGAACGACTCCTTCCGCCAGCACCGTCGTTCCTTTTGGTACGTCCGCTCTGTCCACCACTTCGTATGCTTCCAGCTCATCGAATTTAGCCAATTCTGCATCCACCGCGGCTTGCCAAAGAGGTGCGTACGGGTCTGTTGTCATGTCCTTGAGCGTTTTGGGCTCCTTGTACGTCAAGTCCACCATGGGGATGCCGGTTGCTGCACATCCTAGCACGTGTTGTTGCACGTTGAACGCTTGTGCTGCCCGTTGTTTCCCAAACAGTACGTCCAGTCCTGTCATGCCGTCCGTCCCTTGTTCTTCTCTTCGAAGCACAGTCACCGTTGGGTTGAAATGAACCCGTCGTGGAGTTGCGTCATGAGCTGCCAGCTCGATTCCATCAGGTGGGTACGCAAAGTCATAGAGATGACTTGCCTCATTCTCCATGTTGTTGCTTTCAGCAATTTCAGGAACAGAGACGCCTGCTAGAGGTAAGTCACTTGCTGTAGCCCCTTCTCCTGTTTCGGCTGCATCGTCAATGGGTGAGTCCTTTTGAGTTGTGTCAACTTCCTGTCCTCGTGTGGTTGTGGGCGATGTAGGCGATGGTGGGGATGCGGGAAAGGAGTCAAACCTGGAGCCAAAGCCTTCTCCGCCTGAAGTCCAGCCGTCAATGTGCGGTGAGACTTCTTCCAAGTAGTGTTGGCGTTCGATTATTGATTCAGCGTCCGGTAACATGAGGTCATAAAAAAAGCGAGCGGAGCGTGTGTCAGTGTCAACGTCGCTTGCCAAGTCCCGCACGATCCATGCCTTTCGTGAGTTAGAGAGGCCGAGAAACATGCCTGTCCGACCTCTCTGCTCAAATTTTCCGAAGCTGCCTTGGGGAGGGAGATAGTAGCACAGGCAGCCAAATGTCCTTGCCATCGAGACATCTGCCGCCTTTCCCGTCATCATGAAGTACGGTGAGTGTGCCGATGGGTTGCTGCTGCAGCTGATGCGGTTGTGTAGCCATGCTGCATATTCCAGCGCACAAGGCCAAAACTTGGAGGAAAGGCTGGCCCCAGTAGTCATTGCGCGCACTCGGTCCATGAGTGTACGGTTAACCCGTTCGGCGACTCCATTCTGTTGTGGCGTGTGTGGTAAGGAAGTTTGGTGATTGATGCCGTGAGAGCTCAGGTTATCCGTGAAAGCATTCGCGGTATACTCCCCCCCGTTGTCCGTGCGCAAGGCAGCCAGCGGCTTCGTGGGCAATTTGGTCTTCATCTCGCGATGCCATGCCGAGAAAACAGTTGCCATGTCGGACCGGCGAGCCAACGGCGCCACCCACAGGTAGTTGGTGTAGTCATCCTTGAGCGTCAGCACGTAGCGAAGTGAAGGGTGAGCGTCACCCAAGTCCATGATATCGCTATGCACGAGCTCCAAAGGTCGAGTTGTGCGCTTGTCTCCACCTGTGGGAAATGGGGTTTTGCTCATCTTCCCTCGAAGACATGAGTCACACGGGGGTTTGAGGGGACTTGTCTTGTCGGATATGGAGAGTCCTTCAACATCTCCATTGCGAAATGTTGCGTCCATGGATGTGTATGATGGGTGACCCAAGCGTTTGTGGGCCATGCGGTATGTGATCGATGCATGAGCAGACTGCACATTCAGCCCTCCAAGACCAGGTTCATTCGATGCTTCATTCGGATGATCATGACCAGATTCATGGGCGGATGTAAGTGCAGGCTCATATTGCATCATGAGCACACCATGCATGATCATCCCAATCCCAATGACCACATGCTCATCTCCAGCTGCCATAGTGATCTCAATGTTGCCATCATCACGTGTGCGAATCCGAGCTCCCTTTTTGTGCAGTTGGCAATAAGAGAGCAAGTTGGACTTCAATCCGGGGACATAGAGCACGTCGGTGAAGCGTACGGTTGTTCCATCAGGTGCCGTTGCTCGAATTGTTCCCGCCATCGAGCTCAACAGGTGGCTCCCGTCAGCAAGCTCCACATACACAGGTTCATTCAGCTCCTTTACACCTTCAAACCAATCCTTTTCTGAAGTCATGTGTTGGCTGCATCCGCTGTCCAGAAACCACATCGACCCTCCGGCTGATGGTAACATTGCTTGTGACGATCGAACTGTTGCAACGCATGTAACGGTTCGTTTGTTGTCTCCCCCGGCTGCCCCTTGCTGTTTTGTCGCTTGATTGTCACGTTTCGGACTTTCACTCCTTCGAGGCGAGGACGAACGGCTACTCCAGGTGCGCTGGTTTGTTCTCCCTCTGTTTTGTGGTTCCCAACCTGGTGGTGACCAACCCGGAGGCGCCTTGGGACACTTGTAGAACGAGTGGCCGGATTCCTTGCAGTACCAACACACAAGGTTAGACCGCCCTCCTTTTCCTTCGTTGCCTTTGAATTTGTCCCCAACCGGCGCATGCTGCCCTCCCGTTGACCTTGTCGCATTCTGGTTGCCCTTTGTCTCGGTCCTCTCCTTTGCTGGTGAAGTATCTCCACGTGCTTGACCAGCCATGCGGGGAGGACGTTTGTCACGATTGGTCTTGCTAATGAGGTCTTGGTAACGTTGTTCCTGAATCATCATTCGCTGTAGTGTGTAGCTGTCCGAGATGTCGTGTAGCATTGCTGAATGCCTTAGCTCCTCCCAATGCGGCGGCAGCCCAGTAATCAGATTCAAGGTGAATGAATCTTCATCCACCATTTTTCCCGCCATTGCCAACTTGTCATGAATTGCAGTTGCTCGGTTGATGTATTCTTCCACTCTTTCTTGACTCCCCATCTTCAGGTTGTCCAATTGCCTTTGGAGAGATGCCTTTGCCACCGAATCCTTTGCCTGGTAAGTCTCCATCAGGTACTCCCATGCTTCGAATGCCGGACTGTATGACTCTTGGAACACGTCCAGTTGCAGCTGAATCGTTGCGCTCACGCTATGTAGTAGTACCCAAAAAGCCAGCGTAGCCCGTTGTGAGTAATCTGGTTGCAGAACTTCCAGCCGTTCCATTGCATCTCGCATGTCTCCATTCGCCATTGTAACCGGGTATTGTAGTG